AAAATATCAGTAAAAGTAGGTTGATAGCGAAAAAAAAATTTTTTTATGGTAATTTTATTTATGTATAGATGAAATAAAATATTTTAATACAAAATTGGTCGAAAATACGAACAATAAAACTAAATTTGTAAATAAATGCCATTCAAAAGTTTGCAGAGAATCACCTCATTTTTTAATAGTACGAATCTTATTAATAATTAGGAGTAATAAATTAATTACTTACAATTAATGAAAAATATAAAAAAAACAAGTTAGTTTTGAAGGAAGTTTTTTTAAAACAAGAAAGAAAAACTCACTTTTGATAGTCGCAAAGGCTGACCAGTTCCTCTTCCTCCTTGTATTCGAAAACCCCAGGGCGAACCCCCAACAAGAGTGACAAATATTAAAGGCATGTTCAAATTTTCATGGAAAAAAAACAATGAAAAATCACTAATATATTAGATGTCTAAATGCACGTGTTACATATGAGTGACATGCGCACTCTCTGATAGTTCCTTACGATTTGAAAGTTAGTAAACAAACACACCGCGAACGATGAGAAAAAATAGGAAGCAATTAGGGAGAGAAAAATCCCTTTTTTAGTAGCCTAAATTCGAGAAACTCGCCAAACCTGATGCAAACGTAAGTGCACGCGGAACACGCCCAAACATTACAGCAAAACGGAGCCGCGTTCTTTTCTTTCTTTTCCGTTTTTAGTGTTTTATATTATGAAATTCACACAAGGTTAGATGTTCACGTGACTTTGATATGTGGGCGTATTTTAAAGAGTTAAGCGTGACGCAATGATTGAGTAGAAAAATTTTACGTCTGTTTCGTACAGTGATAATGCTTGCGCCATCTATCGTAAGGCTTTTAAGAATTACTTTTAAAAATTTTTAAAAAAAATTAATTTTAACTAAGTAACTCTTTTTCTTCTTCAAATTATTTTTATTTATTTTTTTTAAACTTTCTACGGCAAAAATTATTCTGGGACTCTCCGAAACTATCACCATTTTTAATTTTGTAGCCTGCACCTCTAACTTTTGATCAGTTTTAAATTATTACAATTGTAAAAAAAGGAACAATATTGCAGGTTTGCTTACTGAAAGGCTGTTTTCAGGCACATGATAAAATTTTCACTAACTTTATAATTGCTTACTGAAAGAACTTTTCAGGCGCATGATAAAATTTTCACAAACTTTAGAATTGTTTTCAAACCAATCAAGTTAAGAAACATCTTTTAAAAAATATAATAATAATATTTTTTTTTTTAAAAATTCGATAAAAAAATTTCGTAAGTATATAAGTATTTTCGATTAACCGAACCGAATTGTGTTTGACTGAGTCTTGTTATATATATATATATATATATATTCGTGAATTCCCTTTGAAAAACTTAGAGTAAACCAGGAAAATTCTAATGCTCAAATATTTTTTCTTCTTCAAAATATGAAAATGATATAATCCAGTAATAATTTCAAAATTTAAATTTGTAAAATTTTTTTTCAGCATTTGAAATTTAACGGTTTACTCGAAGTTTATCTGACTAAAACTTTTCTCTATAATATATATTTTCTTTCCTTTATCTTTTTCTTTTTTTTAAAAATTACCAATAGAAGTAAAACAGCCATAAAAAAGAAGAAAAAATTGAATATAATCTTATGTGGTATAGAGTCGCTCTCTTAAGTGACGTAGCGTAGCAACCGTGTATTGTGGTTAAAATACTACGAGCAAGATTAGACTACACAAAATTCAAAATTAAAATACTTTTTATTTAAATTTTAAAAGAATCAATAGAAAAGTGAAGATATTAAACTCCTACCTCTTATACGCTGAATGATTTATAATTTTTAAAAATAAAACAAGCACAACGAAATTAAAAAAGGAAAAGGTGTTTAGCACAAACAGAGAGAAAGAAAAATAAACTTCGCTCCATATCACTGTCGGATATGGGTAAACGATAAACTGTAAAAATTAAATTTTATATATAGTGTAATATTAAAGATAAAATGAGTTTAAAATTAATTATATTAATATTTGCAAACCATGTTAGTATTTAAATTATTACATTTATTCTTAATAATGAGATAATTTGTCAGGTGGGCGGTATTTTATTTATTCTTATACATGAACTATTTATGTACTTTCTTTATAATTATTAATATTTTTATTGATCCTGCAAATAATTTCAGAAGTTTTTTTGAAAAATTATTTACACGCCTCTGAAAGTAGGAGAAGTTTTCTAATATTGGGGTAATCTTCATAGGTATCAATGTAGTATCGTTGTGAGAAAATTCGATAAATGAGTGAATCATAATAAATTTTATTTTTTTCATGATATTGATTTGTTCATTCAACAGCAAATTTTCCAGCTTCTTCCATTGGTGGATAAATTTCTTCTGACAAAGCGTGTATAAATTTGACAGTGCCAAACATTAAACGAGTTGGTGGAAATTAAGTAACAGAGTGTGGAGTAAAATTATATTCTTCAGTTTATTAAATAATTTAGGCAAAGGAAATTCTTTTTGAAGAATCATTAATTTTACATTTTAAACGTGTAAAATGATTTGTCCTAATCGTTCAACTTTTCCATTAGTTTTCGGTCTGTGGGTGATAGTTACTAATTGTTTGATTTAACTATTTAAGAAATTTAAGAAATGGGAATAAGTAAATGCTGAAGGAATGCTTCTTTCAGGAATTCAAAAAATTTGGTACTAAGAGTCGATATAAGTTTCTGTTCTTATTGACTGAGATGCAAAAGACCACTTTTATCGAGTGTGAGGATGAATTATTAAGATAAAATATCTTTTAGTGGAATTATTATAAATAAAACCACCTTATCAATTGGAATTATTTCAACTGGTTTGTCGAATTGTCGGCATTGTCGAAAGTAAACCAAATTACTTTTGTCTAGGTTTTTTATTTCTCTGACAAGTATGGTAATGTATATTAAAATTTGTGCTACATAAAGTAATATTTTCCCAATTATAAAAAGGAGTATGTAAATTAATTATTATTATTATTTTTTTTTTTGAATTCCTGGCTGACCAAATTTCTTATAAGTAAATTTAAGTAATTTATGTCTTAAAGAATATGGAACAACAATTTTGGTTTTACCCTGGTTAAGCCTTTTTACCTTGGTTAATTCCTTCCCCTTGGTTAACGCTTTTTTGGTCAACCCTTTTTACATTAACATAAATTATTATTAGTTTCAACAGAATTTCCCGTTAAGTTTTCATTTTATTGGGACTCGCGAATTTAGTTTAACGGCAAAATATGTGAAAAATTGATTTTATTATTAATATCAATATTATTACTTATATTATCAAGAATATCCCAGCGACAACATGTCAGCATCAAAGTTTAAGGCGCCTTTTTTGTAATTTATGTCATAATCATACGTACTAAAATCAAACAGCAGAATAGCTTTCCTTTTAAATTTTAAAGTGAAAACAATGCTGAATTTTAATGTCAAAATAATGGGGAATTTATTACCAAATAAATAGTGAGGAACGTGTTTTATGCATCAACAATAACAAGACATTCCAATTTGGTGATAGCATAATTTTTTTCAGATTCCCCTTAAGAATGCTATTAGATGTAAGACACCTGAAACATTTCGCTGTTTCAATATTGCTCTAATACAATTTTAACTTGCATACATTCCAATACCATTTGCAATGAAAAAGAAAATATTTGGGGATAGACTTATTACCTGTGCAGATAGCAATGTTAGAGGTCAAACTCAAAACAAAAAATCCTCCTATAACTTATCAAATATTATTTTATTCGAAAATAAAAAATATTTATACTATATACAATGTATAAGTTCTACTAGCTTAGTGAAAACAATTGTCAAACATAATAATTAATCAAACATACCAACTTAGCAAATTGAAGATGAATTGTTCCTACCATATTTTGTATTAGTAATAAGCAATTCATTCGAATTTATTATAGCAACAATCTATTCCAATTCTAGAAGAGCAACCAAGGAAGGATGACAAAGCTAATGACAAAATATTCGAAGTGAGAACCAAAAGAGCCCATGGTGGAATACCTTAAACTAGCAACATCGCCATTTTAGCATGATTAAATATAAATAATTAAAATTCTGAAATAGTTCTTTTAATACACAAATATCATTTCAATATATGAACTATTAGTTTTATAGACTCGTGTTAGGTCTTATTCAGTTCAAAGTAAAAGAAGAAAAAAAAACACTTCGGAAACAATACCTCACTTCTTTCGATAGCAATGTCAGATGCGTTAATAAGAACAGGTAAATAGGCGCAACCCCTTCTTGCCGAAATTAAACTCATGTACCATTTTACCGCTTACTGAGAGCAGGTTACTAAAACACTTTGCCGCTGGTTATATATTCTATTTTTGTATTTACGAGTTTTGATGATATTTAAGTTGCCCTTACTGTACGACAATAAATTCCGAATCGTTACCTGATTTCACTGTTTTTCAAAGTTTATTTCATTGATTTATATTATTTTACAAGCATTTTAAGGTATTCTTCCAAGGTATTCCATTCGCAAAACGATGCTATCATTTTTTTCATGTATTACGATACTTTTAGTAAAAGCGGCACCATATTATGGAAATAGAAAATCGAATGTAACAAAGTGCACAAACAAAAAAACCTTTAGAATTGATTCCGAAAAAAATTGACCCTAGATTTATTAAAACTAATTGTATAAGAACTTCTAGAATAAACTTTTGAAATGTTACAGAGTTCAGATATTATATTTCTTTTATAAAACGTACATACTACATTTGCAATGTACATTCTACTGCGTACATTTGTTATTTTTAATTGTTTTTCTTATCTAATGTAACTCTGAAAAAGTTAACTCGAAACTTTTAAATTATTTAAAAAACTGTCACAGCAAAATGAACTTTTGTTTAAAATATATTGTAAATAAGTAAGACTATAAATTAAGCCATGCGTAATGAAATTGCACCAGAAAGAAATTTATCAAAATGAAAGCTAATAAGTTTTACCACGAACAGAAATTATTCATTTAATTCGTTGAGTCTTTTGGCTACAGCGGCTACCAAAGCTGCACCTCTCCCGCTTCCATCTTCCGATAACATCAACTCAAATTCATATTTAGGATCAACGAGTTCCTTAATCTTGTCTTCCATCTTCGATTTAAACAAAGGATGATACCGATAAACAGATCCATCCACGCCAATGGTTGTAAAATTCTGTTTTCTCTTATTTAATATAGTTGCTACACCAGCAGATACCAAATGAGCAGCTCTAGTAGATACCAAACAACAGACAAGTTGTGCAATTGAGCAATCTTTCTCAGAAGGTTCCTTTATACCCATTTTCATGAGAATTTCTTCTGTTGCCTGTTCACCTCTAACGTCATGTTCAATAAAAGAAAGGTACTTTGTTTTGAAGGCATATTCTTCGGACAATTTTTCAGTGACGATGCCATTGTTAAATTCACCTTCATTGGCTAGTTTGATAATAATTCTCCGCACAAGTTCACCCATGTACATTCCAGATATCATTTTTTCAAACAACTGTTCTCCAGGGTTTATGGATGCCTCATCTACCTCTTGATCAAATGGAGTACGCAAAAAATCAATGCAGCCATTGTCGCCAAATGCTCCCCATTCGCAATTGATGATGACTTGCCGTGGTTCTTCTGTGTCTTCTTTCCATTTTTCAACGTTTTCCAAATTTTCCATGTAGCAAGCGTTTGTACCGGTGCCGATAATGACACCGACTCTACAATTTTCATTTCTATGGGCACATGACATAAGAGTACCAGTTGTATCGTTCACAACTGCTATAATGTCGATATTAACGTCCCCTCGCCTACTAATCGCATCGCGAAGCAATTGCACCACGTTTTTCCCTTCAACACCGGGACACCGAAATCCCTTTGTCCAGCGAATTAGAAATGCCTCTGTTAGGCCTTTTTGCACACATGGAAAGCTAAATGTAAATCCTAAAGGTAAAACTTCTCTGTCCAACTTGTATTTTGTTACGAATTCAGCTAAGCAATTAGCGATGCTGTCAAACAGAGCTTTACCTGGTCCTGTCATTGTCGATTCTGTTAACTCAAAAACTTCGTGAGTCGTTTTGAAGTTTCTTCCCTCTAATTCGATAAATAAAATTCGAAACGTACTCCCTCCTAAATCTAATGCAAGAAATTTTCCTTCTTCCTGTCCGTTTGGTATATCTCTCACGAAACTCGGCAACATTTTTACACTCGAACTTTTATCTTTAGATAATCCTTTATTGAATTCATCGAGCAAGATGTCTGATACTCTTTTAAGCGTTTCAGTGGAAATTTCAAAACCGTGCATAACTTCATGGACCCTTTCTCGAAAATCACTCATTCCTTTGAGTTATGTAAATAGAATATAGTTTAAAGGGAAACCAAAACAACTAAGACTTTTTAATGTTTATTGATTGTAATGGAAAGTGTTTTTGTTGTGTCTTAAGTAGCTGCTTTTGTCTCTATTGTTATAAAGTTGCAAACCATAATTCCTTCGGTTACCATCGGCAGATATTTTTTCTACTGTAAAGTTATCTCAGCTCGTGTAAAACTTTATTACATGACCTTCAGGAACGACCTGAAGTTGCGATATTACTATTTTATAATAGGTTTTGGCGGAGTACAGTACAGTATTATGTGCAACGAGAAGAGCGAAGGAGGCAATCGCTAAATGGAGCGAGCATTCACTATTATTTTAAATTTTTTTACCCCAGAAGAATTCATTTACATATAGCGAGTTTAAAATATGGATTTAGATTATTATAAATGCATATCTTTAAAATGTTTAATTAAATCGGCCCCTCGAGTGATTACTCTACTCTTTTTTGTGACATCTAAACAAAGAGTAATCCACACACCTCTGTACGCCACACATTTATGTACGCCATTATGTCACACATTATATATGTCACAAATGTACGTAGAAAATCTCTTTTTAGACACTATAAATTCCGATGTACGCCATTATGTCACACATTATATATGTCACAAATATACGTAGAAAATCTCTTTTTAGACACTATAAATTCCGTCCCCCCCGAGTCGCTATTTAATTAATAGTTTTAAATATTTTTTTGCTTTCTTTTATGAAAGAGTATCTTTGTAAATAAAATAGGTGACTCATTTTTACGCAATTTTCCCCAGTCCTCCTCTTCCCGCCTTGCATAGTTCGGGCAAATTTTGCTTTTTCCATACCAATACGTTTCAATAAAAAGTTGCATTATACTTGCGTGGGGATCAGCAAGATTTGTTGATACCATGGTAACAGGGAAGAGAAAGTTGTGGAAAGAAGAGAAATCATGTAGCGTTGAGACTATTCTACTAACAGTATAATTCATGAGAGTATAAAATCATAATTGTTCCTCACCTAACATCTGTCACAATAATTTTTATATTTATTTCTTGGAACAAATATCATAATATAATGCAATTTCCTTTTTTTAAGTCTTCCACGTTTTACTTTGCTAAATTGTCACTTAGTACACTAACTGCTTTTTTCTTCGTTATTATTTACCATTTCAGTTGTCACATTCATCATTAAAAATTAAAATAGTTCGAAAATTAATCTTACCAAAAGAAAAGTTGACTATTCAACTCGTGTTGATCAAGATTTACCACAAACACAATTTTTCTAACCATATGACAATTAGTAAGTTTCATTTCATTTTATTAATTGACGTTGGCCTAGCAAAATTTAAATTTATAGAAACACGTTTTAAAGTATAAATGTGAACAATAAGAACATGCGTTTTCATATTTTTCTCAAAACCAAATTGGTTGATTTCATTCATCTCTAAATTATTCATGTTAATTTTATTTGTAATTATTTTTGGCAAACAAAAACATTGCAGAAATCTAACGCAGGTAACCAAGGATAAATAATAATTAAAAGCATGCGTTAAAAATTCCATTTTCTGTTAAATAGAGATCCGGGTTAAAATCCCAGCGATGGTTGGCCGATACGAATTCCGCATCCGGCTCGCACCGACTTCAGTGCTAACGTAAAATATTCTCAACTATAGATGAATCATCGGTTGGTGTCCCCTTGCCATCAGGCTAACCGTGTGAATATTTCGTGGTTTTCCTCTTCACGTAACTCAAATGCGGGTTAGTTCTATCAGAAAAGTCATCCAGGAAAGCAAATTTCTTCCAATACTTGATGTAAGAGTTCCCTTTTCTGCTGGATTGGGTTCAAAATTACAAGGTTACGGAACTAAACATTAGTAGTCGTAAACCCAAAATTGGGGCGGCTTTTCAACGACGTTTATAAAAACAAACATTTTGTTTTAAATGTATAGGTAAGAGAACGAGTGACGAGAATGTGAGCTAAATAATTATTTGAATTTATTTAAAAATATTAAATGAAGACAATATGTAATAATTAAGTAAATTAATGACATTAAAATAATAAATTGAATTTATTTAAATCAGGATATTGTTTTGCAAACTTTTTATACCACGTTTCCTTAAAAATAAAAAAAAATAAAGAAATGGGTTTAATAATTTTATATAATATTATGGGGTTAACTTATACCGTGAACGATCGCAATCAAGAGAATGTCAACTTCCACCAGTGAATGTTAACAATCAACTATTTATTATCAAAATAGTTTACTCAGTTCACAGAAGCTGCATTTTTTTAAAAATATCTTTTTAATAGTTTCGTATAAAATGTTTTGCTTTTTATTTCGCGGTTATTGGTAATAAGAAAATACTTGTATAACATAATTTAGCTTAAAAAGGCGAAAAAACATATTGAGTGCAAAAATAATTCATAATATTGCAAATTTCACTGGGTAATATGTAACAATTTGAAGGAAACAACTTTGTTTGTTCGAGATAATCTCTTGTTTTTCTTAGTTTAATGTCGATCTTATTGGTATAAATCTCGAAATTCGATTATTTTACAGAAACTTTTAAGTATAATAATTACTTAAAGAAATTAATTCTTTAAGGAATGAATGTCGAATGTCAGTAATATAAAATGTTTACTTCGATTATTCATAAAACTTTATTTTTCACCGAAATGTAACAAACTATTGTAGATATTAAGAATTTAGTTTCTATATAAATTTTCAATGAAAAGTGTGCATTTTAAATTATGCATCGGGTGTTTATCTTTTTATAAATGATTATATAAATTAGTGATATAATGAAATTCATTTATCTTACAAAAAGAAACAGAGGGTATGACTTTAGTGTTTCCATGCTCTAACAGATGGCGATAGCAAACTTAAGACACGAAAACTCGTTGCTAAGCAACACGTCTTTGGGATCTCTAGGATCTACTAGTAAATAACAACTGAACATGATTGTTCCAATGGGGGTTTCGTAATGGTAGAGAATGGCCGAGTCACGGACTGAAGAGGTGCAAGATCGGAGTTTGTCCGATGAGGAACAGCATTCTTCTACATCACGCCATAAATCCAAGCCCCACTCCCCTCTCAGACGGGGCTTGACTAAAGTCTCGAAGTGGGTACAGGTCGCTCGAAAAGCGTTAGTGAATAGTTCCGGGGACAATACAATGGGGCACGTGGTCTCTACTTCATGCGATTCGAGTCAGGATACTTCCAAAAACGCAAAGGATGCACCGAATTGGAATTTATCTATTCCTGAGTTGTTAAATGAGATTGAGAGATTGAAGACTGAGCTTGAGGAGAAGGATGTTATTATTGCTGATTTGAAAAATGAAGTTATGCAAATGAAGGTAAGTTGAAATAGGATTAGAACGGAATGGGCAATATAATGATAAGCTATATATTTAAACTTTTCCAGAAAGCGGATTTTTATTATTTTTTTTATTTTTTTGTAGACAATGAGATATTCGAGTCTTTTGTGTTGTTATAAATTGGAATATAAAGCATCTGTTTGGAAACAATACGAAAGAACAGTTGGTTGTAAAATGTTACGCATTTCTTAACATTGTCTAAGACTTTCCATTGATCTAAAAATGTGCATATATACATTGCTTGTTATAAAAAAACTTCCTATCATCGTAACGTGAATACAGTTTTTGTTTTTAAATTTCTTCTGATGAAGCTAAACTCAACAACTATATTCCCCTCTAATTTTTACTTGAAACAGCCTAAAATAATTCAATAATAACTTTTTATTAACAATTGAAAAACGAACGAGAATGAACTACATAAATTAAGAATGAAAACGTTTAAAATCAAATAAGATATTCCGTTTTGTAATAAATTCACTTCTAGCAGTTTTGAACAAATATTTGTTAGTTTGAAAGATGAAACTAAATAAATTATAAATTTTTAAATAATCTATAGTTCAAATAAACAAATAACTTTTCAGAATTTCGTTAGGTCATTAAATATAGCTTTCCAAACTCAAGAAAATCTCAGTTCATATAATTTAGGACGGTCTCCAAAACATATAGTTTATATAAGCATTGTTAAAGAATAAAAATTGCTTATAAATTAACTAAGTGTATTTGAGAAAAAATATTTAAACTTAGGTATACAGAATGTATAAAAAATAAAAAAGTAATAAAAGAGAAGTAATTTTAATTAATAAAAATCTACAATTAAATATTGGTCAACAATTGGAAATGGAGTGGAATTTAATAATTCTTGAGTCTTTTATATTTGTTTAAAAAAAATTAATCAAGTCTTTCAATATATCTATCATCTAACTAATTCTATCCAAACATGGTTCTGATGACCTTAATATTCCCTTTTTATGGAAGATCTGACCATTCAAATTTTCTTAGAGTTCAGCTTTTATCCATACCTAAAAAGATAAGTGGAGTTGTTAATTTTTCCTTCTCTCAGTTTGTGGTCAACACCACAAATACATACATTTTTTAAAATGTTTATTTAATATTTGAAATTAGGATATTCCTACACAAGATTGCTGAGATTTGGAACTATTTTCATCTTTTTGGGGATAATCGACCCTTATTCAGCAAAAATGTTCTTAAAAATACTGAAGTCCTGAACTTCAGAATAACGACCATTGCGTCATTTTCTTAAATCGCAGTAAACTATACTGAAATCTTTAACAACTTCAGATTAAACCTTTTTCTCATAAAAAAATGTGTCAATTTTTTTTTAATATTTCATGTTTTTGAATTTTTGCATTTTTGAAGTGTTTATAGAAACTTTCTATTTTGAAATTTATTTGAACTGTGTTATAATGAAGGATAATATTTCTTAGTGAAAAACTTTTGTCGTGTCGTGTACTTCAAATAAATGACTTAAAACTGAACACAAACTGAAACAAGAAATCGTAAAAACTGTTAAGAATGAAATTCAAATTCTTCAATTTATTAGTCGCTACTGTAACAATTTTTTCTACAGCATTTTAATCGTGTTACATTTTTATCATTTTTACAAAAATGTGTGTTTTTTTTTCATTTTTCATATAACTATTATATACTGCTTAGGTTAACATTGCGAATTTTTAGTCTTTTCATGTTGGTTGTGGTTCTTTCGCAGAGAAAGTATTACAAATAAATTAAATTTTTAAAAATTTTTTTCTAGATGGTTCACATTTTGGGGAGAGGGGATGTATCATAAGCAGCTTTAACAAAACTTTTTGGGTTATTTCTTTGTCTAAATTCATTTTTTTAAAATTCATTATTCAAAACGAAACCCGTTCTTAAGGACCAAAATTGGTGAATGTTGATTTCCACCGGTGAATGTTGACAGTCAAATAGTCGCTTTGGTAAATGTCCGAAATATCGAAATATTTACTAGGTCTTGTTAAGTGCCACTGTCTGGTATACATTTGTACCGTATGCCCTACATCAATGTTTTTTTAAAGTCAAATGCCACTGCCCAATATGCATTTAACCGGTACTCCGAACACTGATGTTTCTCCCAATCTATCTCCAGGATATATTAAAATGTCGAATAAATATAATAATATCAACGAATAAATTAATATCAAAGTAGATATAACAAAAATTTCGGACATTCACGAAAGTGACTATGTGATTGTCAATGGTGAAATTCGACATTCTCTTGATTTTTGTTATTCATGGTATTTTGTTATTCATGTTATTCATGATATTTGTTATTCATATATATATATATATAATTATANTATATATATATATATATGTATTCCATTCAGCCTGACATAACGCATTTATGCATAATTCTGCATAATGACTGTAAAACTTTTAAAGCAATTTCCCTTTTCGTATGAAATTTCATAAGAAGTCTATGAAAATTTTTCTTTCAATATAACAATTTTTAAGGAAACAATGACTTTTTTTCAGACTACCATTATTTTCATGAATACACTAATTCTAATTATAAAAGGAATGCGTTTCATTCCCGAAAGAATTTCGTGATTTTGAAATGCGGATGATTTTTAACATGCTCTTGTTTTGATTTTATATGCTGCATGAATTATTTTTACCCGCAGACGGGAGTTAAAATGTATTTCGTTCTGCACAAAATGTTTTGTTTATTCTGCAAGCAAAAAACAAAAACCATCGTTTTTCGGTACAAGAAGTTATTTATTTAAAACTCTAAACTAATAGTTTGAGCTTTGCTGTTAAAATAATCTCTTTCAACATAGAAAGTCAGAATTTTTTGCAAAAAGTGCTTAGAATTTTTTGAAAGCTTACGGAAATAAAAATAAAGCATAGGAGACTTATTCTTTTTGTTAATATTAAAGCACAAATGTAACAAAAGATTGGGTGAATGATTGTTTTATTAATTTTAATTTAAAGCGTTCAATAGTACATATTTTTCCATTCAGAAGTAAAACAAATACCTGAATTTTTGTGTTTACATTCAGTTATAGAGTTTTTCAGTTATAGAGTTTTTCACTTGTATACTCAATTGATTGATACTTTCATCCTCCATTTCACTATTTCTAATTCACATATTTAATCATTTACGAATTTTTTCACCTATCTATACATACTTATTTCTCTTACGCAGTGATTGAATACACGTTCACGTTGGCAACATTTTCGCGTTATTTACGAAGTTTTTTCGCATTATATACAAATTTGCGTTCGTAGCATGGTAGCAAACCACTGAAAAATTAAACTAATAAGCGTTCATACTCAAACGAACATGTTTACAAAATTTCTGAATGAAAACTCCCACTAGATTCAATAAAGTGAGCAATAAATTAGAAGGAAATGAAAGATTAGCAACGAACAGTTCACAGCAAACTGTATTATATATTTTATTATTAATAAGTAAAGTAAGTAACCTAACAATTTTGTTTTAATTAGGCTTAGTAATTGACACAGAAGACAGATGCATTTTATCACCAGAAATAAGCCAGAAATACGATACCCATTGATTTAAACTAACGTTTTTGTTTAATCCTGATATATTGCCTATACTAGCCGCCAAAGGCGGCCAGCTTGTCCGCCACGCTAAAGGTTTTCACAAATAAAGTTTTTTAAAACATAGCGGGAAATCTGAAGATTAGTGGACAATTAAAGTGTTCCTGTCCTGCAATTTTGTCTTCATATCCAGTTCTGCTGCAGATGTGTTTTAGCTCTTGAGGATGTTTGAAAATGTAACTTTGCTATGGTAACCTAAGGCCTATGGTAACCTAACCTATAATATAACTATCAGGTGGAGACTTGTTTTTTTTTAAAAAAAAGGGCCTCAGAAATTGTAAAAGCATACAAAAGTTGCTTTCGAAATCATCATTGGCCAATAGCTGAAAACCTCTTCTAATCTTCTTTGATGTTTCTCTGATACTTCTTGGGCTCTAGAATTGCTTGTCGAAATTCGGCCATGTTCCATCCTTCTCTGACGTTCCACAGACGTTTCTTGGGCCCTTCTTCTTCTTTGAGAATCTCTTAATATCTTTTTCTTTGACAAAATACAAAGTTTTTCGGAAGGCGGTTCTGCCATATCAGTAATCGGGATTTTAAGAAGTCAACGAATACTTTAGAACAACAATTACTATGAAAGCAAATCATGAAACTTCAATATTAAAATCTAAGTGCTTACTTGCAAACTGAAACTTTCTGAAAATAACTAATTACAGTTAATAAAAACTGTTAAAATAAAGAATAGAAAAACCAAAGAGATCCAAGATAAGTGTGATCGTTCCTTCAAAAACAATTAAATTCCTATTTTATATATTATATAGCTACAACGGTTAAGAAAAAAAACTAAAATGCTAAATACATGAAAAGAACACGAAAACGAATTAATTTTTTATGGTACTACCTATTTCTATATCGCTACAAAAGTTATCGTCCTCGCTTAAGGGAAAAAAAATAGAGCGTGGAAAGAAGAAGAAAAACTTATTATAACAATTATGAACAGCGACAAATATATCAAAGCGAACCGTTCTATTTACGTGGCAGCATATTCGATAGAATATGCTGCCACATTTTTAATACAAAAGTTAAACTTTTCTCCACTTTGATAAATGTAAACTAATGCGAACTTTACAATTAAATTATTAATTCCTTCGTATATTAATGGCTTAAGTTGTCGAAAATTAATATTTCAATTGTAAGGTTCGCATTAGCATAAATTTATAAGAGGGAGAAAAGTATATGCATTTTTTAATAGTTTTTTGAATATGGCTCTTTGAAGACGAAAAAGCAGACGAAAAGCATAGACTTACAAAATGACTGATAACTAAATAACTAATCAAAATTTTTGAAAAAGAAAAAAA